GATGGAGTCAGAGACTTGAGTTTTGCTGCCACAAGCCAAAGAATGCCAGGGGCTACCAGAAGCTGGAATAGGTAAGAAAGGATCCTTGTTGGAGGTTTCTGAGGAAGCATGGCCCCTCCGATACGTCTAGCCTGGTAACAATGAGACAATAGGCATCTGTTGTTTACAGTTACCCAGTACATTACAGCAGCCCCAGGAAACTAAGGCAACTGATTCCTCAAACACTTTGGGCTTCAATGACTCCATGAAATGTGGATGATAATTTGTTTAAAGTTGTAAGATTATAAGATTGTTGAGAAGATTAAATGTGATTAAATGAGACAAGATATACAAATTCTGGCACATTCCAGCTAATAAATAAAATGGGCTGTTTGTTGTCATCATCCTCAACACCAACACTACCATCACCACCACCCACTTCCTTGGATAGTCCTCTCTCCTGGAAACACTTTTTTTTTCTATACTCTTGAAATTTTTATACAAAACTTGTATGATTTTTATAACTCAATAAAGTCATTTTTTTTTAAACTGTGGATTCTCAGGCCCACTACCAAAAATCTTTGATTCAGTGGGTCTTGGTGGAATGGGTATTGTTTGAAGGTATCCAGATATGAACTCTCATTAAGTATCAAAAGTGCAATGTCATTTAAGTGTAGACCTCGCATTAGTATTCCTGTTCTATAAATATGGAAGCTGAAATAAAAGAAAATTGAACCAAGTCAGAAAATGTAAACTTGAGTAATTTTTTCAAGGTTGAACTTCAATAACTACACCAGTTTGATGAAGTGAGTCTAGACCCAAAACTTCCAGATAATGAGGCATTGTAATACCTCAACAATACCTCCATGATACAAAAAATATGGGAGATGGTACAATAGGAGGATTAAGAACATGTTTTGGAATCAGAAAGGTTTAAATTCTAGCTGCAGCACTTACTTTCTAGCTATGGGAATCTGGGAAAATTATTGAACCTTTAAGGTCTTAGCTTTTCTTTTATTTTTTTTTTCTTTTTTTGAGACAGAGTCTTGCCTTGTCACCCAGGCTGGAGTGCAGTGGTACTATCTCAGCTCACTGCAAGCTCTGCTTCCCAGGTTCACACCATTCTCCTGCCTCAGCCTCCTGAGTAGCTGGGACTACAGATGCCAGTCACCACGCCCGGCTAATTTTCTGTATTTTTAGTAGAGACAGGGTTTCACCATGTTAACCAGGATGGTCTCGATCTCCTGACCTCGTGATCCACCTGCCTTGGCCTCCCAAAGTGCTGGGATTACAGGTGTGAGCCAGTGCGCCCAGACCAGGTCTTAGCTTTTCATCTGAACATGGGAATACCATGCATCTGGGTTCTTGTGAAAAAGTGAATGAGATGTCACGATAAAGCATTATTAGTATTATCGTTAGCACAGTAAGTGCTAATAGTGTATTTTTGCAACATATATTGACATTTATTTCCAAAAAAGAAATCAGCATTTTCATCTGCTATTGATTGTCGTAAAGGTACAATGCCTTTGGGAGGCTAAGCTGGGCAGATCACGAGGTCAGGAGATCGAGACCATCCTGGCTAAGACAGTGAAACCCCGTCTCTACTAAAAATACAAAAAATTAAACAGGCATGGTGGCGGGCGCCTGTAGTCACAGCTACTCGAGAGGATGAGGCAGGAGAATGGCGTGAACCTGGGAGGTGGAGCTTGTAGTGAACTGAGATGAAACCACTGCACTTAAGCCTGGGCGACAGAGCGAGACTCAGTCTCAAGAAAAAAAAAAAAAAAAGGTATAAATGCAGGGAGAAAGAAGGACCACAGATTAGAAATAGTGGCTGATTTTAGAAAAGAATGCTCTCCATGCTTTCCCTTCCTAGTGGCTTGTTAATGATTATTGTTCTGATAAATAACTTACCTGGGATCCTACTTATTAATATGCCCTTAGGGATTCTCCTTATACCATGTTATTCTCTATTTTTATAATATTGATTATACAAATTGACAGGTCATTTGATTGACAGGTCATATTGATTGACAAGTCATCTACCATAATACATAAGACTCATTTTTAAGAGGACCTCATAGCTAAGAGAAAATATATCTGTGAGAATGCTCTGACTGGTTATGATTTCTTCAATCAGTAGTGCCCAATAAGGTTAGTTTCCTGCTATACTTAGAACACTTCACTGTATTCTTCATGAAGCTCTAAGATGTCAAGAAGGGAACAAGGCAAGAAATGCTTTCCTTGGTGTGGGAAATCAGACATTCTGACCTCATCAGAGGAGTTGCACGCACAGCAAACGGCAAGAAACAAGGTAGGAAACAAATCTGCACAAAATTTCTTTTATTTTTGCATTATTTAAACCATTGTGGATTTAAGTCATATTATAAACAGCCACTAATCTGTATATTAGAAACAGATATAACAAATCTGCTTTTTGTTAAATGTGATATCTTTTTTGGATAGCTGACATGATTCCAGTAGTCTCTCCATGTCACCTGTCCTCAGCAAGCTTTGATGTCAGGTTGCTCACTCCTTGTGTCACTCATTGAATGCATCATCCAGGATGCAATGAACAGAAAACTAAACAGTAGCTTAAGCATCATAATATGCCCGTAGCCATCAGTCTGCAGACAGATATTCCTGACTTGGTGTAGCAGCTCAACAATTTCCTCAAGAAACTGGGGGCTATTTTTTTCTGCTTTGCCTTCCTTGGCATGTCTACTTGTCCTCATGCTTGTCACCTCATCATTGCAAGATGGCTGCCTCAGTTCCAGCAATTCCATCCACAGTCTTACATCCTGAGTATAAAAGAAAAAAGGCAGAAGGAGCACCTCCCTTCGCATGCCCAGCTCTTTCAATGGTAAACAAAATTATCCACCAAAACCTTACCAGCCAGTCTCGCCTTATCTCTTTAGTCAGAACTGAGAAACACAACCATCACTGGCTGTAAGAAACTCTGGAAATGTGACTGACAGTACTCTGATAAACTTAAAGCAATGATGATTCATCTCCTGGCATATTGCTTCCCCTAACAAAACCAAGGTCTGTTTATTAAAAAGGCAGAACACCATGGCAGTTAATAGAACTTGTTTATAGTGCATTTCCCTGCTGCTTTTTCCTTTTTCTGTGTCCAGTACTGTACTTTTCAGTTTTGGTATCCCAAAACTCATGTGTGGAATAAAGCACTAGGGAGTAAAGATGGAAAAGGTTGGCTGGCAGGTTACAGCTGAGGTGTAATGACTGATTGGAGTGATCTTGGACTAGGATCCTAGCCTGATGTTATCAGTCACTTCAGAGGAACTATTAAGAGATCTTAGGAACTGATTTAAGTTACTCAATCTCAGAGGAGACTGACTGGAAACTCTAATCTGTACACTTAGAGTAGAACATCTACTCAGAAAATTCCCATCAGTTATCTGCCCTGGCTCCAAAGCTACCCTTCCATATTGTGACTAGAGCTGGCAGAGTGCAAGCCACATTCCTGCAAACCACAATCTCTGCCAATGAGGCTTTAGTAATGCTACAAGACTGGGCCAAGGAGAACTTGCTCCTCCTATTGCTTCCCATCTGCCTGCAATTCCTATGAGCACTACTCCAAAGCTTCTAGAATCCCCAGCAACAGTTGAGCACCATTTGCAGCTTTCCCAACACATAAAGAACCAGCTCAATCAGCTCCTGCTCAGTGACAAGAGCATCAGGGGTGCAGTGCCCCTCCTTAACAGCCTGAGTTTCCACTCCTCTAAGTTTCTAAGTTGTAATAATTCCAACTTCTTCCTTTTGTTTCCCCAGTCATAGAGGTGGTAGCTGCTTCTTAGTTACCCACACCTAGTTAACAACTTTATACCACATTAACCTTTCCTTAGGTTAAATTCTTTCAAATAATTGGTGTGATTTCTGTCTCCTGACTGGACCCTAGCTAATTCAGTAGTGTTATGTCATGAAGAGACAGTCAAATGAAGAAATCTTAAAATACCCTATGCTTCCCCACACTGGGGTTACTTACTGTAGTTGCAGGACCTTCACAAAGCCTCCAATGGAAGATAAGACCAGAGGGAGGCCACTGTTTATTACTACATTAAGGTTCTGGCCCCATATGCTTATGTGGAAGCCCTAACTTTGGTGAGCAGGGACAGATCTGGCGGGTCTGACAAGGAGGGGCCTGAGCACCCTCCTTTTCCCTGGGTCTCTTTCAAAGCAGAAGACCCTTTTCAAGCAAGAGACATATTCAGACTCGTCTTGTCATCACCTTCCCAACGTCATGGGACCAGGGGAAGAACCATCAAGGATGATGGGTAGGGGTGGGGGTTTATTTTGAGAGAGAAGAACCGAAAGGCCAGGAAAATCAAGAGACTGACTCCAAAGAAAGGATGTCAAGTGAAAACCCAGATGTTCATCCCTTTTCATCACCTCTCCAAAAGCCTGACTTTCAGCAGCATGCTCATTAATATCCTTGTTCTTAACCCATCCATATTAGCATTCCTTTCTGGGGACGAGTGGCACCCTTATCCTAGAGAACCCTAAGTAGAGTCTGGTGAACAAATTTTGAGATGCTAGTGTGGTGAATGAGAACAGGTGAGTTGGATGGTCTTTAGGAATATTTCTATGAAGTAAGTAAGTTTCCATTTTCCACCTCACAGATTTTGTGTCTGACAAACTGGGACCAATTGTCTAAGTTCATGGTGCCCTCATTCCTAAATAGCGTAAATTTTGCTTTCTCTAGATTCATCAAATTGCTTCATTTTCATGAATAAACTTCATCAAATTGCTGTATTACAATAAATTTTTGAACATTATGACCCTTAAATTTTCCTTTTGAAAACACATATTTAAAAAACTATTAACATTTTCTCGTCATTGCTTATTAAAGCATATGGTGAGTCATTTAATAGCAACAGCTATCGCTTTTGACCTGACTATGAGCTAGGGACATGAGCTCACTAACTTTACTATTAATCACATTAATGGTATATTGTTTGCATTAAGCAGTACCAGAGGGGGCAGAAAACCCAAACACCGTGTTAAACAAGTTAGAAGTTTATTTGTCCCTCAGGAAACCAGTCCAGGACTGATACAGCAGTTTCACAAGCAGTAGAGACCCAAGCTCTGCCTATTTTATTGCTCCGTTGTCTTCAATATGTGGCTGGTATCTCATTATTAAGGACGCTTGGAACTTAAACACATTACCTACGCTTGCATTCCACTGTTGAGAATTACTTGCAAAGTCATACCAAGCTGCAAGAGAGGCTGGGAAATGCGTCTATTCTGGACAGTTACATCTTCCACTCTACATGAGGAGGGAAGAGCTATTGGTAGATGTCTGTCCAACACCAGGACCTTTGATCTCCTTGAGTAGCTCTTCCTGACTAATTTAAAAACAGGTTTATTGGTAGATAATCCATATTCTATACAATGTGCCTATTTAAAGTGTACAATTCAATGATTTTTAACATATTCAGAGTTTTTCAACTATCACTAAAATCAATTTTAGAACATTTTCATCCTCCTCTATCCTAAATAAACCTTGTACCCATTAGCAGCCACTTCTCTTTTAACTCTACCCACCTTCCCAGCCATAGGCAACCACTAACCTACTTTCTGTCTCTATGGATTTAATTACTTTGGACATTTCATATAAATGAAACCATCCAATATGTGGTCTTGGTATGTTTTTGTGGTTCATACATATCATGGCATGTATTGGTACTCCATTTTCATTTTATGGCCAAACATTCCACTGTATGGATATATAACATTTATACATTAATCAGTTGATGGACACTTGGGTTGTAGCCACTTTTTGGCAATTATGAATAATACTGCTATAAATATTCATATATACATTTTTGTGTGGATGTATGTTTCTATTTGTCTTGAGTCTATGCCTGGGAGAGGAACTGCTGGATCATACAGTTCCATGTTTAACTTATTATGGAACAGTTAAACTGTTTTCTAAAGTGACTACATAATTTTATATCCTCGTCAGCAATCTTTGAGGGTTCCAGTTTCTCCATATCCTTGTCAACACTTGTTATTATTTGACTTTCTGATTACAGCCATCCAAGTGGATGTGAAATGATATCTCATTGTAGGTTTGTTTTGCATTTCCCTAATGACTAATGATGCTAAGGTTTTTTTTCCCTCGTGCTTCTTGGCATTTGTAAGTCTGCTTGGGAGAAAATCTACTCAAATCATTTGCCTCCCCTTAGGTTTTGAAATCTATTTTGTTTTCAAATACACAGTTCTGTGTCAACTGGTTACACCCTGCACACTAGGTTGGGATTTTTTTCTCCCTTTAGCTCCTAGGGAAAGCTGGGTCTTTATCTATTGTGGGAAATTCAGCGAGGCTTTGACAAAGTTAGGATTTACTCTGAAGTCATGTGATATTGTATAAACTGCAGATTTTATTCAGTACATGTAGACTTTCTGAGAAGAAATCTTATTTGAAAGCAAAGGAGCAGCCAACCTACAGGACAAAATGGGATGAGAGTATAAGTTAGTTTCCATTTTCTAGGTTCTCAGGCTTTTGAAATATTAATTTTAAGAGACAAGTTACAAAGCTTTACGAATACTATTTAAAAATATATAAGCAGGATGAGCATAGTGGCTCACGCCTATAATCACAGCACTTTGAAAGGCTGAGGCAGAAGAATTGCTTAAGCCCAGGAGTTCAAGATCAGCCTGGGCAACACAGTGAGACCCCTGTCTCTGCAAAAAATTTAAAACTTAGCCAGGCATGCTGGTATGTGCTTATAGTCCCAGTTACTTCTGAGGCTGAAACAGGAGGGTTAATTGAGACTGGAAGGTTGAGACTGCAGTGAGCTATGATCACACCACTGCACTCCCACATGGGTGACAGAGTGAGACTCTGTCTCAAAAAAAAAAAAAAAAAAGGAAAAAACATAAGTGGTAATGACCATATTAACACACAATTGAATGATATAACTCAACTTTCTGTAATTATGCAATAATACATATAATGCTGTTAGCTAAAAATAATGATTTCAATTATTTACATCTATTTAATATTTTGGTTAAAAAATAATGCTTTTGATTACTTATATCTCTTTCCACAAGTGATACTAAACATAGCCTATGAAACATATTTTGCTTGAAATGTGAAATGCAAAGTCAAATAAATACTATATCTAATTGTGGAGTCCTACACTATTTCATTAACGAAGATGCTACAGGGAGACTGAGGGACAAAAAAAAAAAGACAATATAATGAAATGGAAAAAATGCTGACTTGGATGTCTAGAGTCAATGTTTTATTACAGAGTAAATCACTTAACCTCTCTGGACCTGGGTTTACAAATCTAGAAATGAAAAGGTAGGGAGCTATATAGATTTCTGAGGCCTATCTCTAAAAGTCCTATTTCCTGTTTTAATGGTATTTTATAAAATGGGTTGTGTTCAAAATGTGTGGAAAACTGTGGGTCAAATAGTTGTGATACTCTTTCAGTTACTTATCCAAAATCTATTCCCCACTTCTTCCTTGGTTTAATGTTAATTTGATTTGAGACAGCAATATGGCTAGGTCCACAGTGATGAATTGTGACTGGCCTAAGGTAATCATTGCAATTCTATTTTCAGCTTTCCTTGCTTTCCTTGCCGCTACTCATGGCCAAGTCAATGTATATGGCCATGGAAGCCCCTTCATTCCAGAAGTATCTCCAAAGGATTACTTTTTTGGAGAGTATGATGGCCTAGGCTAACTATATTACAAATAGTAGATAGATAAGTGCATTTCTTGGCCAGTAAAGCCAGAATGTGTTATCTCTCAGACATTTCTTCCATAAAACATTTACTCTAATTTCTTTTTTTTTGTGAGACGGAGTCTTGCTTTGTCTCCCAGGTTGGATTGCAGGGGCGCAATCTCAGCTCACTGCAACCTCCGCCTCCCAGGTTCAAGTAATTCTCCTGCCTCAGCCTCCAGAGTAGCCGGGATTACAGGGACCCACCACCATAGCCGGCTAAGTTTTGTATTTTCAGTAGAGATGGGGTTTCACCATGTTGGTCAGAATGGTCTCGAACCCTTGATCTCAGGTGATCTGCCCACCTTGGCCTCCCAAAGTGCTGGGATTACAGGCGTGAGCCACCGCACCCGGCCTCTAATTTCTACAAATAAATAAAAACCTAAGCATTCATTTGTGTACTTGGTCTTACCTTGCCCCCATTTTTGGAAAAAAATTTAAAACAAAGGAAAAATCTGTTGGTCAAGAAGGTGCATGTCTATTAAACCCCTTGTCTATCATAAGCCTAGAAAACTTGGGAGTTAGTGAAATATAACATTTATGTTAATCAACCTTTTAGACATGGTTGTGTTGTGAAGTAAAAGCTGGAATCCAGTATTCTCAGTTCTGTGTATCATTATCACCAGCGGTGCTTTAAAGAGAAAATTACAGGTCTCTCTACATCTATCATACACCTCTTCAGATTCAATAGGTCTAGAGGTGGCTTAGACATCTATAATTTTTTAAAGTCCTACATTTGATTCTGATAGGCAGCCAAGGTGAAAACACTGTTTTATAAATCACAGAAGCTATGACTCTTCAAGATGCTTAGGTGAGTAAGGCCTTATGGCATGCTGAAAATATAACATTCTCACAGGTTTCAGGGACTCAGGTCTTTGTTCCGGCACTCGACAGCTAGGTGACTTTGAGCAGATTACTTAAAACTCTTGGGCCTTAATGTGCCAGACTTAGGATAACTTTTGCTCTAGGTTTAAACAACAAGTGTTTATAAAAGCACATGGAAAATTATAAAGAGTTCAAAAACTGTTAACACCGTACTTAATGCTATTTTCCTCTTTACGGAATGTCCTTTCCCTTCTTGTATGCTGTAAAAATCCTACTATTCATTCCAGAGCACCAAGTTTAAATCTCTGAAGCCTTCCTTAAACCAACCTCACAGAAATGTTACCACATTAGCGTTTCTGCAGCACTTTGCATACTACCCCTATCACACTGGTAGTAACAATCCACAACGTCTTGTCCCCTCATTGGTCTAGTGTAAGCTCCTGCAGAATCGGGGAGGGGGCGGGGGGTATCTTAATCTCTTCAGCGTTCCCTGTGCCTAGCAATGTTAGTTGAGGTGAACCAAAACCGCTATCCTCTCATTATTGAAAACACAGAAAGAAATTGCCTTTTTAGAACCCAATTACCTATTTTTCTCTTCTTTTTCAAAAGTGGAAACTTTTCTTCAATCTACCTTTACTTGTGGAACCCCAATCTGAAAAGAAGATTGAGGGGCTGGGGGATGCTGAGATCTGCCCCGGTAATCACAACACTTATGATAACACAGGTAACAATCTATTAGTGCCTGTACCTAGTAGGTGCCTGACTACCCATGACACACATTTATCTAATTATCTCAACCATTTATAAAAGATGTGCTATTATTACCCCATTGTATTGCTACATAACTGAGGTCCAGAGGACTTAGGTAACTCGCTCAAGCAAGGTCACAAGGGCAGAAAATACGGATTTCACTCCAGAGCACCAAATCTGAACCTCTACATGCACCTTCTTCATCTGGAAACATCTGGATGATTCAGTTCCTTTAGTGTGGCTCAGAAACAAGTAACCCGGAGTTCATCTGGGCTCCCATTTGATAGAGACTATGGTAAAGTGTAACTGATCAGATGTGGAGGTGGAAGCATCGCCATGAGAACCATTTCCTCATGATGCTCCTGTCACCTGGAAGTGTCCTAACTGTAACTTTATTTTTGTTTTAAAATTTATTGTTGGAGACAGGGTCTCACTGTGTCGCCGAGGCTGCAGTGCAGTGGCGCAATCACTGCAGCCTCGACCTTCCTGGCTCAAGCGATCCTCCCGCCTCAGCCTCCTGAGTAGCTGAGACCACAGGCTCGCGCCACCACACTCGGCGAATTTTTACATTTTTTGTAGAGGTGGGGTCTCGCTTTGTTGCCCAGGCTGGTCTCGAGGTCCCAGGCTCAAGCGATCCTCCCGCCTCGGCCTCCTTAGGGATTGCAGGCGTGAGCCACAGCGCTCGGCCGCTGTAACTTTAAATTGCCCGCAAGGACTCTGCAGCCCAGCCCTGCCCACCTCACCCGGTCACCCGAGGATGCCTGTCAACGTCTGGGAGCTGCGAGCGCGGGCCGGCCAGTCGTCTGCGCGCGGCTTTTTCTTCAGGACAACGGAGGCACACCGTGCTTTGCGGTTCCCGGGTCCTTCAGGTCTCAGACCCGTCAGCCCGCCACACTCCAGCGTGTACGTTGCGATCACCTACGGCCACCACGCCCTCCTCCCGGAGCCTGCCGGCCGGAAGTGACGGCCCGGAACTACTCCCACAGGGGGGCGGGGAAGGAAGATGGCGGCGCCCGGCAGCCCGTGAGGAGAGAGGACACGGGAATCCCGGGGAGCGGCCAGACTCGTGAATTATGGCCGCATCTCCTCACACTCTCTCCTCACGCCTCCTGGCAGGTACTGTACCTGCCTTGGGCACGACCTTGGGGGAAATTCTTCTCTTATTGCCACGTGCGAGGCCGTGGTTCCGTCTGGCTGCAACCTTGGGGAGCCCTTGGCGAGGTTGGCCGGCCACCGGTGTGGTGGGGGAACTGACCTCTGGAGTAGCTTGGAGCGAAGAGGCTACGGAACTAGGGTCCAGTCTTGCACTGTGACTTTGGTGGTCCACACCGCCTCTTCCATCCGGCTTCTGCGGAAGAGCGGCGTCTTAGTGCTTCTTTCGGTTTTCAGATAGCGGAAGCTGGAGGAGAGGGCAGAGTAGAACCTTGGGGTTCCGCAGTCCTCCTTATCAGATCCTCAGCTTCTAGCCACTGGCTTGCAATGACAAGGAAGTACTTTGCTTTCCACTCAGAAGCCTTGTTCCAATATAAAGGGTCATGATGACAACGGTGATGATAATGACAGTTGCAGACAGCGGGCTGTAGTCCCCCTGAGACTTTTGTCTTTGTACCGCCAGAGTGGTCTTGAATAACCTTTCACTCGAAGGAACTAGTGACAAATGTATATTGGAGCTATAATGTTCTTCCTTGACTCTTGGTAATGTCTCATCTCAAATGTCACCTTTTCAGAGAGGCCTTTATAGGGACCACCCTATATAAACTAGGGCCCCCTACCTCTTTCTGTTCACATCATTCCATTTATTTCTTTCATTATGGTTAGCACAGTCTATACTTGTTTATTTATATACTAGTTTATTATTTGTTTTTCCTAACTAGAATATAAACCTTGTGATGGCAGGGACAGTGTCCATCTCTGGTTTACCTCTGTTTCCAGTGCCCAGAACATTACTTAATGTACATTGTTTGCTCCTAATAGTTATTTGTGGATGGATGCAATTTGTCCCCATGGAGATATGAAAGAGGACGTTGGGGATTGTCTTGCCCCCAGTATCTTAGATGATTAACTAATGGTTGTGTGAGGAATGCGATGCTGGTAGTGCATATTAGAGGCCAGATAAGAGAAGCCAGGGACTGCCTTTTGATCACATCCCGGAAACTTTTTTCAGTTGTCACCAACCACACACAAACTCTCTGTACCATCTGGTGATGTTGACACTGTGACTCCATGAAATTGCATTCTTCTTTTTCATAATGTTATTTTATGGCTCTCTTCTGGTCTGTGTGATCCCAGGGCAATTCATTTGACTTTTCTGGAATTGAGTTTACTCATCTGTAAAATGATGTAATTGAAGTAGGTGATCTCAAAGGTCCTGATTGGTTTGTAAAGTGGAGAGGTAGAATAGATGAAACGGGATTGGCTAGGGTTTGGTAATTGATGAAGCTTGGGGATAAGTAATGGGGGCTCATGGTACTCTTCTGCTTTTACACATGGCTGTGATTTTCTATAATGAAAAGTTGTTGTTTTTTAAAGTCCCGTGATTCTTTTTTGAATCACTTCTTTGTTACCTTCTACCATCCCTGACTGTGAATGTTCTTTGATCCTGATCCTGGGCACTCATTCTCAGAGAACTCATCCTTTTCTAGTGCTTGAAATATTTCCTCTGTATGTAGGTTTTTCCAGCATGCATCCTTCAGATTAGCTGTTTTTCTGCCTTTCCATTCTATATTGTCAGCTGTAGGTCAATTCTGCTTGACTACTATGAATTCCCCAGTTCCAATGGTGGGCTGTATATGGCCCACATGGTTTGTTGCTGCATCAGTCTTTGCAGTGGTGGTATGGAAGGAATTAATGAACAGCTTACTCCCTGAAGCTGTGAACATAATTGCCAAAAACTCTGCTAGTAAGTGGCCTGTATAACTTCCTGTGATCCACTTGGAAGATTACTAAGAGAGCTTGATGAGGAAGCAGCATGGTGGGACGAGGTGGCAGAGAAGGTAACCTGGGACAGTGTTAGTGATCGAGTAGTATCATGCCTGATTTTGCTTCTAAAAGTTCTAAGTATTTTATAGCCATTTAAAAACTAGGCACAGTAGCTCACGCCTGTAATCCCAGAACTCTGGGAGGCCAAGGTAGGTGGACCACTTGAGGTCAGGAGTTCAAGACCAGCCTGGCCAACATGGTGAAATTCCCTCTCTACTAAAAATACAAAAAAAAAAAGAAAAAAAGAAAAAAAGAAAAAAAAAATTCGCCAAGTGCATGGTGTGCGCCTGTAATCCCAGTTACTTGGGAGGCTGAGGCAGGGGAATAGCTTGAACCCAGGAGGCAGAGATTGTAGTAAGCCCAGATCGTGCCACTGCACTCCAGCCTGGGTGACAGAGTAAGACTCTATCTCAAAAAATAAAAAAGTAAAAATAAAAAATGTCAGCATTTTTTAGTTACTTGTCTCCTTACCTAATTTTAAACATCCTAAAATCAGGAGCCAGTGTTGATGGTGAATAATAGATATGGTGTTATGCTTCCAGAATTTTAATGTATAATCTTTGTGTATCTTCAAACTTAAATTTGTTTACACAAGGTTGAAATGTCTTTCAGTTTCTGGGCACTGATTCATAGAAATGTGACGTGTTTCAACTAAATGAAATGTCAGTTTCCTAACTGTTTTTTCTTCTTACTACCATTGTGTAAAATCTCAATTTGACCCACTTAATCTTTTTTTTTTTTTTTTTTTGAGATGGAGTTTTACTCTTGTTGTCCAGACTGGAGTGCAATGGGACAATCTTGGCTCACTGCAACCTCCGCCTCCCGGGTTCAAGCAATTCTCCTGCCTCAGCCTCCTGAATAGCTGGGATTACAGGTGCCCACCACCACGGCTGGCTAAGTTTTATATTTTTAGTAGAGATGGGGTTTCACCATGTTGGCCAGGATGGTCTTGAACTCCTGACCTCAGGTGATCCGCCCACTTTGGCCTCCCAAATAGCTGGGATTACAGGCATGTACCACCATGCCTGGCTAATTTTTTGTATTTAGTAGAGATGGGGTTTCACCAGGTTGGTCAGGCTGGTCTCAAACTCTTGACCTCAGGTAATCCACCCACTTAATCTTGAGAGTTATTTTCCAAGGTAGTTCCAAGACAAACACATTTTCGTGTTTATGGAAAACAAGCATGTCAGTTAACTCAGGTTTGAAACTGTAATTTCAATGAAGAAGTGATTTATCTCCAGTCTAAGAAAATTGTGATGTATTTCTTGGGGTTGTGATAGTTCTCCTTCCCATAGTCCAGGTGTGCTGTTTGGGCTATCTAGTCATCAAACATTATTTCCTTATTATATAAAAGTGCTCTGCTAGCTGTTGTACAAAGATGGTGAGTAAAGGGGAATTCTTGCCATCAAGGAACTAAAATATTAGATGATGGGAACAATTTGCATGAAGAAGTGTCATACAACATGGCATAAAGTGATAGAGTAGTTCAAAAAGACAGAAAATTTGACAGAGAGTGGCATGCAAACAAGGAAACAATAGAAACATGAGCAAATTGTGAAATGTGTGGTGTTTTTAGTGGAGGGTCATGGGCAATGTTGCTTTGGTGGGTTGTGTGAGTAATATGTATTCAGGGCCGCAGGAAGAAAACTGTTGCCTCTGGGAACGTGGATTAGAGAGGAAAGGAAGTATTGAAGGCAGGAGGACTGGCTTGAATGCTGCTGTCATTACCATAGTCCAAATATAAGATGGTAAATGTAAGATGATCAGTAAAAATGGAAAGAAGTGGGCAGATCTGACCTATATTTCAGAGTAGATTGGACTTGATGGTTGTTAGGTGATAACAGGAGAGTTCAAGATGTTCCTGAAGTCTTAAATAAGTAATGGTTTTATGTGCAATAGGGAACAGAGTAGAGATTGATTGAGCATAAAACGCTCTTACAGACATTTTGCAATCCATCCATGTAGAGACACCAAGAGAGGAGATGGAAATAGGCCCAATGACTCTAGAAATGGTTTGAAGATCAGAAATTATCCTATAATTACATTTGCTCAGGGACAATATTTAGTGTTCAGAAAGAGGGAACATGACTACCTTAAGGTGGCATACATAGCAAGAATAGACACCATCTGCAACTGAGAAATAGAATGCAGAGAACCAGGAACACTTAGTGTCATGGAAGCCATCAGGAGAATCTAGTGTTGTATGGCTTGTCGGAGGCTTCAGTAGGATGAGGACCAAGGCAGAGAAGCATTGAATTTGTTGATACTTGAGAGAAGTTTCAGTAGAATCTAAAAGCCAAATTTAGATACAACAAAAATAGCTTATTCCTAACTAGACTGATAGAGTCATACTTAATCGGGAACTGTTTCTTCTTCCTTTTTGTTGTCTTACCCTGCGTAGTTAAAATGTTAACCTGAAATCCATCTATTTCAATTTATTGTCATTTATTAAGAAAAATTAATGCTTTTTATTTTCTACTTTTGAAAAATTGACTGAACGGATCATTTTATATTTTCTTGAAAAGATCTGTAGCGTGGTCATTTCAGCATTAAATGTGATAAAGCATAGTGATCCTGAAATGAAAATTTTCCCTGGCCCTTCTGAAGGCTTACACTGACTTGAACAATGAGTAGGGCTGGTAAATTGCATTTATTCACAAATCTGGATTAGATTATTTGAAAGCTCAGACCCATCACACAGTGTAGCACTTACCTTAGTGGCTGGCTTTGCTTCTGGGGAGGTGTAGTCATCATTTAATAAGAAGTACGAATCATTTAACCTTTCTTCCACTTCTCTCTCTTTTATAGGTTGGGTAGGAGGCTGTGTCTGGTATCTTAAAAGAAGAACTATACAGGAATCCCCTCACAAGTTCTTACATCTTTTCAGGAATGTCAATAAGCGGTGGATTACATTTCAGCACTTTAGCTTCCTCAAACGCATGGTATGTTTAGAAGACCATTCTTACTGTTACTTTCTGCCTTTGTGTTTCTCTGTTGAGGGAATTTCAGAAATTCCTATTTAATAAAAGTTTTAAGAAATACTGTTTGAAAACAACTTGTATTTAGTGTCCTTAAATTTATCCAAATCTCTTGTTTTGATTATTCTTAACCGAAAACAGAATAATTCTGGTGTTTGAGGTTTAAAGTATGATCCTGAACTTACTGATTAAGTTTAGAGAAAGACTGAAAACTTGTGGCATATTTCAACCTGGCCAAAATTGGGAAAAGCTGAACTGTTGTGATACATCTTTTAAAATTCTTTGGAGTTCTGTGACTACATCAGTAATAGAGAAATAATTGCTTTAAAAGTGTGACCCTCTCATTTTCTTTCTTTTTTTTTGAGACAGTCTCGCTCTGTCACCCAGGCTGTAGTGCAGTGGCGCAGTCTCGGCTCACTGCAAGCTCCGCCTCCCAGGTTCATGCCATTCTCCTGCCTCAGCCTCCCGAGTAGCTGGGACTACAGGCACCAGT